CAGAACGTTGGATGAAACTCTTGCCACATTCCGAACATTGATATGGTTTCTCACCAAGGTGGATCCGTTGATGTTTGATGAGGTTGGAGGAGACACTGAAGCATTTCCCGCAGACGTTACACTCGTAGGGTTTCTCCCCCGTGTGCATCCGTCGATGTTTGGTCAGATCTGACTTCTGGATGAAACCTTTGCCACAATCAGGACATTTATAAGGTTTCTCACCAAGGTGGGTCCGTTGATGTTTGATCAAGTTGGACCTGACGCTGAAGCTCTTCCCACAATCTCCACATTTATAAGGTTTCTCACCCGTGTGCATCCGCCGATGTTTCACCAACGCCGAATTTTGACCGAAGCTCTTACCACAATCTGGACACGTATAAGGTTTGTCTCCAGTTTGAGTTCCTTGATGTTTGACGTTCTCCGCTCGATACGTGAAGTTCTTCCCACATTCGCTACATTTTTGGGTCTTCTCCTGGGTTGGACGAGTACGAACACCCCATAAAAAGTTCTTCCCACAATCGGTGCATTTACAAGAACGTTCGGTGGTGCCACCACCACCACCACCACCATCCCCCAATAACCGACGGCGTTTGTTGGAAGCCAAGAAGCTCTTCCCACAATCGGTACATTGACATGGTTGGTTGGTACCGAGGTGGACACGTTGATGCCTCTCCAAGTGAGAACTTTGAGAGAAGCTCTTGCCACAATCTCCACATCTATAAGGTTTCTCACCCATATGGATCCGTCGATGTCGATCGAGATGAGAACTCCAAGCGAAGCTCTTCCCACAATCACCGCATTGATACGGTTTCCCGGCGCCGTGACTTCGTTGATGTTGAACCAAAGCGGCGTTCAAACCAAAAACCTTCCCACATTCTCCACATTTAGAAGGTTTCTCACCACGATGGACACGTTGATGTTTGACCAACGTTGAGTTTTTGGTAAAACTCTTCCCACATTCCTCACATTTCAAAGATTTCTCCGACGTTTTAGAACTGGAAGTAGCACGAGATGAAGAACAACGACCGCAATCGATACAACGACAAGAAGGTTGGGTGGTGAGGACGTGAGTACGGCGATGACGATCAAGGTGAGAACTCCAACTGAAGCTCTTCCCACATTCAGGACACGCGTAGGGTTTCTCACCGGTGTGGATACGCCGATGCCGTTCCAGATGTGAATTCCAATTAAAACTCTTCCCACAATCATCACATTTATAAGGTTTTTCTTCTCCATGAAGTTTTTGATGTTTGATCAAACCAGAACTGGTGGGAAAACTCTTCCCACAAATACCACATTGACACGGTGTCATCCCAGTAACGTTACTGGGACCAGTATGAACACGTTGATGTTGTAGAAAAGCTGACCCGACGCTGAAGGTTTTCCCACAGTCGGGACATTTATAAGGTTTCTCGGCCACGTGACGCCGTTGGTGGGTGATGAGGGTGGAACTGAGTCGAAAACATTTACCACACTCAGAACATTTATGGGGACGGTCGGTTCCTCGACGTCTTCTGGTGAAGGTTGACCCAAAAGTCAAAGTTTTGCCGCAATCGTGACACCGACCAGGAGGGATGAAGTTCCTCGATGGGAATTTCTTGAAGTTCCTGTGACTCGATTTCCCCTGGCGTTTACCTGCTGGTTTTTTTGGTTGGTTCTCTGGTTTTTGAGGACCATCATTAGGTTTTGGTCCATCCAGACCTGTAGGAGGGTTGGTTCCTTTAGGTTTTCCTACTTCGGTGTCTACTTTCTCCAAGTCGTTTGGTGGTGGGTCTTCTTCTTCATTCTCACTCAATAATCCATCATCTACAAGGAGGAAAAGAAGGTGAAGATCCAACCCGACTAGCAAAAGTCATGGTAGTCTTGGTGGCCATCCTAGTGGCCATCCTGGTGGCCAAATCCTACTCCCAACACCCATCACCTCATGGTTTTAGATCTTCCAAAAACCGTCTTGATGATGATCATGATTGACCATCAACCATCATCGATGACGATCATGATTGACCATCAACCATCATCAATGACTTACCCGACACCAATCCTCTTCTACGATGAGATTCGGCGAAGGCGGTGATCCTTGGCCAACTGATGGCGATCTCCTCGGCTGCAGGAGATGGTTGGACATCAGTTAAAGTTCTTCAAGTTCTTCTCAACCCCCCCCCAATAATTTCACCACCACCATGACCATGGTCAACATCAACGGAGCTATCAAACCACGAGGTCTTGGTTGAACCCAACCTCCTCCCCAAGATCTTCTCCAACTTTGGGGTTAATTTAAGGTGAATTTTGATGATTTTGGGTGGTTTTTAGATCATTATGGATTCAATAATGAATATTAATTAATTAATTAATAATTAATTTCATTAATTAATCATCAATTAAAGAGTAATTAAAAGGAAATGAAGAACCTCACCCAAGGAGATGACGCTCTCGTAACTCTCCTGCATCGCGGCCCCGTGATCCAGACTCTCCTGGATTTATTGGGG